GAAGGCTGTGGGGGGCAGGAGGAGGGGCTGGGCAAAGGTGATCGGCCATTGCAGGCAGAGCCAGCTGAGCTATAGGCCAGGGGTCTCCAACCTTGGCCACTTTAAGCTTGGCGGACTTCAACTCCCAGAATTCCCCAGCCAGCAAAACTTTAAGCCTGGAGGACTTCAACTCCCAGAATTCCCCAGCCAGCAAAACTTTAAGCCTGGAGGACTTCAACTCCCAGAATTCCCCAGCCAGCTGGCTGGGGAATCCTGGGAGTTGAAGTCCTCCAGGCTTAAAGTTGCTAAGGTTGAAGATCCCTGCTTATAGGCAGTCTAATGTTTCATTTAGTGACCATTCAAAGTTACAACGGCCCTGAAAAAGGGGGGGCTTATGATTGTTTTTCACACTTTTGCCTCCGTCGCAGTATCCCCGTGGTTACATGATCCAAATTGGGGCAGCCGGCAACTGGCTCGTACTTATGACGGTTGGAGGGTCCCACGATCCCCTTTTGCAACCTTCATGACAGGGGAAGCCGATTCCCTTTCCAGCTGCAGTGATCCACTTAAGAACGGCAGTGATTGGCTGAACACCTGTGGCCAAAACAGGTCATAAAAATGAGACACCGTTCCTTGGAGCCTAGAAATTGGGGAGCTCAGTTGTAGCTGTAAGGTGAGGACTTCCTGCAAAGAGGGGACTCAGCCCCCTGGCTGTCCTTGCAGGGGGGCTGCCTGAGCCCCCCAGAAAGCCCCCCCTTCCCCCTCGGGCCTTATCCGCAGGGATCTTCCGTTTCCACATTCCGGCCTTGAGGCTGACCCGCTGGTGGACAGGAATTAGCACCACGTCCTGCCAGTCTGACAGGCTGTGTGCCAAGGCCGGCTGGGCTGGCCACGGGCCCTGGAGCAGGGTGAGAGGGGTGGGAGATGGAGACCAGCCGGCCAAGCTGTCCTGCGTCAGCCCGGCTGCCTCCCAGCCCTTCGAGGAATTCAGAAAGTGGGTCAGGGGAGGAGGGGCAGCCCAGCTCTCCAAAGCAAACAGCTGGAGAGATGATGCAGCTGCTGCTTGACGAGAGGCGGCCCAGGACTGGCATCCAGCTTGGCAGCAGCCGGACCCTGGCAGAGTGGGCCGGGGGGGGGGGGGCAGGAGCAGGTTGCTGCTAGGAGGAGGAGAAAAAAGGAGGGAGGAGAAGAGGAAAAGAGAAAAAAGAGGAGGAGGGGGAGGAAAAAGAAGGAAGGAGAAGAGGAAAAGAGAAACAGAAGGGGAGGAGGACGAAAAAGGGGGAACGAGAAAAGGAGGAGGAAAAAGAAGGAAAGAGAAGAGGAAAAGAGAAAAAGGATGAGGAGGAGGAAAAAGAAGGAAAGAGAAAAGGAAAAGAGAAAAAAGAAGAGGAGGGGGAGGAAAGAGAAAGAGAAGGAAAGAAAAAAAGAGAAACAGAAGGGGAGGAAGACGAAAAAGAGAAGGAACAAGAAAAGAAAAGGAGGAGGAAAAAGAAGAAAAGAGAAGAGGAAAAGAGAAAAAGGAGGAGGAGGAGGAAAAGAGAGAGAATGGAGGAGGAGGGGAAGAATGGAAATCGTTCTTTCTATGTATGTTTTTGTTTTCCTTTCTTTCCCTTTGTATCCCTTTGCGTCTCGTTTTCTCGCTCTTCCTCTTCTGAGCGGGACTTGGGAGTCGGGACCCTCAAGGGGGGCCTGGCGACTCCCACCCTGGACCCAAGAAGAAGAGCCAACAAACCACCAACCAGGCCAGGTTTCGGCCACTGAGGGTCTCCAGCTGAGGTCCTTGAGGGGAGGGGGGTGCAGGCCCCCCCTCCCTGACCCTTCACAGGGTGGGGTGGGGAGATGGGTTTTGTAGTTCTTAGAAAACATCCAAGGGGGGAGGGGGACGCTGAGGGGGCAGAGTGGCTTTTTCGGCCGGAGGGCTCAGGCTCCGATTTGGCTTGAGCAATCTTCGAAATTCAGCCCTTCTCGAAAACTTCCCCCGGGGCCTCCTCCTCCTCCTCCTCCTCCTCCTCCTCCTCCTCCCGCTTTGTGCAATGGGGGGGGGGGGGATAAATTTAGCCTGGTCTTTCCTGGATTGTGGGTGTTTTGGGGGTTGGGGCGGGGAGTCCCTGCAGCCGGACTTCTGCGAAGGGAAGCAGGAAGGGAAGGGGGGCTGGAAGCTGCTTTCGTAGGGCAGCGGAAACCAAGATTTCGGTTTCTCAGGCCAGGAGAATGGATTGACCGCAGGGGACAGGACAGGACGTAGAACAGGGGCGGGTGTAGAGTAGAGTAGAAATTAGAATAGAACAGGATAAGAAATAATAAAATAAAAATTAGAATAGAGTAGAGTAAGAAATTAGAAGGGAACGGAACAGAATAGAAAATAAGGAACAGAATGGAAGAGGACGGAAGAGAATATTGGGTGATTAGATACACCAGGAGTTGGTCTCCATGTGTAGACAGGATCCTCCCAACTGGGGTGCCAGTAGGGTGACCTCTGGGTCGCAAAGCTTCTATGGACCCCCAAGAAACCAGGGAGGGTCTTTTTGGGGTGGGGAGTCGACAACCGTGGCTGTGGCCTACAGGTTGTCCTTGACTTATGGCCACAACGGGGACCAAGAATTCCTACTGTTAAGCCAGGCAATGAGTGAGTCGGGCCCGATGTCACGACGATTTTTGCCAGGTTCCTTAAGCAAATCGCCGCTCTCATTAAGTGAGTCATGCGGTCATTAAGTGAGCCCGGCTTCCCCCACGGGCTTCGCTTGTCAGACGGTCTCAGAGGGGGGAAATCACACTGCAACTGTCGTAAAGAGGAGCCTCCGAATTCTGATCCCGTGACCGCAGGGATGCTGCGACGGTTGTAAGCGTGGAAAAGAGTGGTCCCAGTCACTAAACGAACCATGGTAAATCAGGGACCGCCTTCCCAACCAATCTCCTTCTGAGCGTGTAAGAAGGACAAACGTCTCCTGGGCGTCGTTCAGCTTTTCATGTTCGGCATGACGAGTGTCAAGAAGAGCTTCCTGTTGAGTGCCGCAGCGCTGCTCCCCACAAGCCCCCCCCATCCCCCCCCCCCCCCCCCCAGGGCCTGTGGTCCTGTGGTTGCCCCCTCCCTCCCTCTCTCCCTCCCTCCCTCCCTCCCGCCTGCGCCAGCACTTCCGGCCTGCTTGTTTTTGCAAACGATTTTGCTTTGCTGATCTTCGCTTTCGGTTTCCTCCCAGCCCTGACAACGATCAGTGGAAACGTGTGCAGGTTGTGACAGCGCATCACACACACACACACACCACACACACATGCTCCCGATGAGCCCAGCGACAGCAGAACAAACTGTTCTGACCTGGGAGGATGAGAGAGAGAGAGAGAAAACCGAAAAGGAAAGAAAGGGGCCGCCCAAGGCTGACACAGGCCGGATCCGGCAGCCCCTCCCTCCCTCCCTCCCTCCCTGCCATGCACGCAGCTGGACGATGCTGCCCCCGCCTGGCACCCAAGCCAGCCTGCTCCACCTCTGGCTTCCTCAGCCCCTGCACACAGACCCCACTGACTAAGTAAATTGCAACTGGCTGGGTTTGCCTGGAAGTAGTTTACTCCGCTTACAACCATTCACTTAGTGACTGAGGTTGCAACGGCATCGACTTGGCTTAATCCTAGGAAAGGAGACCAACAGGAGATCCCGAGTGGAGAACTAGGGCGCGGCGGGGGCAAACCAAGCTGAAAGAAGGCAAATCTCCCCAGGCTTTTGTGGGGAGAACTTACAGCGGCACCCCTGGTGTCGTCAGGAGCCGAGACCCAAAAGAACCCCCGGCTGCTTTATGGCAGGTGGCTCCCAGGTGGGTCAATGGGCAGGTGGGTCACATTTGTTTCCTGTCTCGGCAAAGGCCGTTGTTTAAAGTTGCCAAACTGGGCAGCTTTAAGATACTTGGGCTTCAGCTTCCAGGATTCTGGCTGGGGAGTTTTGGGACCTGAAGTCCACATTCTGTGGGAATTCTGGGAGTCGGAGTCCACACACCTGCTGCCTGGGGAATTCTGGGAGTTGGTCACCTCTTAATGTAGCCCAGTATGAAAAAAACCCCACAACTTTTAGGCGGCCTGGCACCTTCTGCCCCTGAAGTCAAGTTGAAGAAGAAGGCCAAGGAAGCCACTGACTCTCTGCTGCGCTTTTGCCCCTTCGAAAGCAGGCCGGCCCACAGGGGGCGCTGCAGAGAGGCTGCGGGGACGGCATCGCGCCACTAGATGGCGCCCTTGACTCCCCAAACGAAAGCCGCTCCGCTCAGAAGAACCCAAGAGATTCCAGCTGCACCGGCGGCCCCTCCCGCCCTCCTGCCGTTCGCACGACCCCGACCCAACCGGGCCCCCGAAAGCCACATGGCCAGAGTGGCCCCTCCAGCCAACGAGGCGAGGGATCCACAGCCCGTCATAATGTGTATTCATTGGGTTTATGAGCCCGGCGGGGCTGAGAAGAGGCTGCAGGCAGTTTGGGCTTCTCCCTCCACCGGCTGGCACCGCTTCCCACGTTTTGGGGCAGCCAAGGAGCGCCTTCTGCCCCCCCGCAGAGAAAGAGGGCGGAGAGGGGAATCTTCCTCTTGTCATATCTCCGTGGACTGCGGATTATTAGAGGATTTCATGCCAAATTTCCACTTGTTATTCTCCTTCCATTTTATTCTCCTGCCTGAGCAGGGGGCTGGACTAGAAGACCTCTGAGGACCCTTCCAACTCTGTTATTCTGCCCAAATAGTTGCTCTCCACGCCTCACGTGGCATCGCAGAACCGACCCCAACCACAGTCGCCATTAAAATTTGCCTCTGGAGCCTCCCTGCCTTCTCTCCCGGGAGTTAGGTCAAAGCGAGCCCCCGACTTCCCGTCCTGTGAGGTTTCGAACTCGGCTCTCTCTCCCCCCAGGTCCAGCGGCAGCTCCCTGCCCAGCCCGGCAGACATGTCCAGCGGCCTTCTCCGGCCTGAAAAAGGGGCCCGTGCCTCCTGTGGGTCCAGCCCCCAAGGGGAGGGCAGTGCCAGGCGCTCCCTCGCTCCCCTGCCCGGGGCAGCCGCGGTCAGTCGTGGGTCAGCTGGAACTTGGGGAGGGGGCGCCGCTTGGGTTTCCAGGGGGCCCCCAGGCGGAGGCGCAGGGTGGGGGCGATGACCAGCCTCTCGAGCAGCAGGGCGCCCACGAACCACAGCAGGCTGTGCTCCAGGGCGACGAGCCCCAGGAAGTGGTAGCGGAGGTGCCCGTGGTCCCAGGGACAGGCGCCGAGGCAGCGCAGCAGGTAGCCGATGCCCAGCTGCCAGAGGTAGATGCAGCTGGTGTAGAGGGAGCAGCGGGTCAGCAGGCAGCAGTCACCCCGCAGTTGCAGGTAGATGCCCTCCATGGTCATCCCACAGGTGCCGTAGGCCAGCAGGGAGCAGGCGCTGAGGGGCCCCCGGAAGGCCCAGTCCTGGTCCAGGATGAGGACCACGAAAAGGATCTCGCAGAAGTAGCCGTGGATGGCGTAGATGTAGGCCCGGCACAGCGGGCCCAGCGGTTCCCCAGAGCCCTCCATGGCTGGCCAGCTGCGGGCAGGAAGGAAGGAAGGGAAAATTTTGGGCAGGTGGGATTCTTGGCGGCTCGAGGGCAAACCCACCCAGCCCTCTGCAGCCCCACCTGGGAGTTGAAGTCCACAAGTCTCAAAGTGGCCCAGGTTGGAGACCCCGGAGCTGCAGGCTAGGAGGAGGGTCTTCGCTCTGCCCAGGGTGGTCTTGTATGACCCCATCCACCACCCTTGCCGATCTGACCCCTGCCCAACCGCCTTGGGGAATCCTGGGAGTTGAAGTCCACAGATCTTTTAAGTGGCCCAGGTTGGGGACCCCTGCTTAGCCAGGGGCCTCTAAACTTGGCCACTTTAAGACTGGTGGCCTTCAACTCCCAGAATTCTCCAGCACCAGCAGAGTTTACTCTCTTGCAATCCCTTCCTCTGCAATCTCTCTGCTTTGCGGGAGAGGAGAAAAAGAAACGGACACGGCTGGCTGGCTGGCTGGGGAATTCTGGGAGTTGAAGTCCACACGTCTTAAAGTGGCCAAGTTTGGGGACCTCTGGCTTAGCCAGTGTACTAACTTTGGATGGGGAGATGGGTGACATATCAGTTTAATAATCAATCAATCAATCACATCTCACCGCACCTCCTCTGGTCTGCTGAGAGGTTCGGCCAGCCTTCATGAGGACTAGACGCTTAACCCGTCTTTTCCTTCTGAAAAAGGGGTCTTGCTGGCAGAGATCTGTAACCAACGTACTCGGGGTTGCAACGCACGATGGATTTGCACCTTCGCCTGCCCTTCTTGACCAGTTTATTTAATTTTCAGAGGAAGGGGGAGAGAAGACCAGGAAATCATGATTCCCCCTGTAACCCTCCTCTTCCTTCCTGTTACTCCGTGCAAATTCACGTTTGTTTGCACCTTGAGGGCTAGAAGCGTGGGTCTTTTTTGGTTTTGTTTTGTTTTGAAACCCTGACGAAATCCTTGGGAAGGTGGGGTGAAAGATGAAAGATAAAGGGGTCAGCAGATCTCCAGGTGGTTAGTTCTACCAGCTGAGGTTGTGGGGCAGCCCAGACTGGTTCTTCTGCCTCCGCCGGCAGCCAAGCAGGGCTGGGCTTCAGCTGGCTGCCAATTTGCCTTGTGCAAGGCCCCCTTTGTGCCCCCACAGGACCGTACCTCCCCCCCCCCCCGCGGGAGGAGGGGTCTCAGGGCAGAGCGCCCCTGGACGCAGAGGCTCCACCAGCCCCTTTAAAACCAGCAAAGTTATTACTATCCCACTACTTTTTTTGCTGGCCTCTCTGGAGTTAATCCTATAGTAGCTACTCCTTGGTGTATTGTCGTCCTGTCCATCACCCCCTTTTCTCCAGCAGCTGGAGGTGGCTTACAGGGGTCCTTTAGAGCAGTGGTCTCCAACCTTGGCAACGTTAAGACCTGACCAAGGCAATGGGGAAGCCGGATTCACTTAACAACCATGTTACTAAGAAGTAGAGTGATTCACTTAACGACTTAAGGTTCTAAAACAGAGTCCTCCAAACTTGGCAACTTGAAGACTTGTGGACTTCAACTCCCAGAATTCTCCAGCCAGAGCTGGAGAAGATTTTAAAACAGAAGGTTTCTATGATAAATTGACTGATCTAGATAAGATTTTGACAGGTACTGATGAAAAGGTGATTAAAAAACTATATGGATATCTCTTTCTTCTTTTTTGTTCTTTCTTTCTTTCTTTCTTTCTTTCTTTCTTTCTTTCTTTCTTTCTTTCTTTCTTTCTTTCTTTCTTTCTTTC